GCATCCAGTAACTTCTTTTACACGTACTTAGCCTATTTTAACCTTTGACCACTTACCTATACGTGGTGGATCTTAGAGAAATATCAACAATTGGTTGCGCGGAGTGATAAAAACCGATTTCGCGCAACCGACTTCATATCAGATAATATCATGCTGCCGTCGGAGTAGCAGATATTAGCAGCTAAAAATTGTTTAGGAGGCTTCTCAGGGGTCCTGTGGGTCTGCCCCAACAAGTCCCAGCGTGGCACTCCTTGGCACTTGGAACGAAAGTTAATATAAAGTTTTATTTCCAGCATTTTCGGCGCGAGGACTTTCAGACGGCATAAATCGTATTCAAACCTATTTACGGCTACATTTTAGTAGTGAAAAATGATCAGCAGCTTGCATAGAGTAAGATTACGTCATTGGAAAAGGTCTCATGAAATGTTAAAATAGACTAAAGAATGTACAAACATTGGTGCGTTTTTAGAGGAAATTTTAGATTGCCGACTTAGCGGACTTTAGAGGCCTGTACCATCAATATGGGGGATGAAAATTTAAAAACTATCATCAAATCCATATAATATAATACTCGTAGAACACATTTCCGGTCCTAAACATTCACAATCCCGGAATCGCCCATGTCCGACCTTTTACCCGTATCGCCACACCGTGCGCCGCAGCTGGTGGGAAAATTTGAAAATGCACAAACATACATATCGACGGTGAAACTACCAAACCACGTATCTCGGTTTGCGACGTCGCAGACTTCCTGTCATACTTTATTTTTTAAATGAAAAACTACTTAACATCCAGTCTTGAAAATTTCTGTGATTTTTCCTCTTTGTGCGGAGAAAATTCCGTGAAAATTTCAAGGAATGATATTGATTTGGTCTACTTCAAAAAAATAAAATGTGAGCGTAGATTTTTAAACACCGCAAACGAGATACGTGGTTTGGTAGTTTCACCGTCGATATGTGTACATACACAAGCTTGAGGGCTTTACGTAAGGTTCATTTTCTGTTTACCGTTTAAGATCTCGAAGGGTCATGACTTTTTCGCGCTTATGAGTCAGAATAATCTTCCAAGAGACGTTAATTAAAAGTTATCAAAGAGCGAGAGTGAGGTGTTAATGCGAAACATCTGAGCTCGCCGTGGTTATCAGCAAAGGTCAACTCATACGCATTAATAATTTCCCACGTGAGGTGCCGCCGGAGAGGGTTTTCGTTCGGTGTCGGGTCTATCGTCTAATATTTCGCGATCCGATAGCAGCTTCTTAATTAACACTTACATCGAGTCAAAATGGCCGATGAGAGAGCTACACCTTAGTACGAATCGTTTTCGAAACTGCTTCTTATTGCTGCTTGTAATTACGAGGCCTGTGTAGGACTTCCTCTGGATGGATTGCAATAAATTGCAATTTCGGATCGCAATAATTCTGGGAGATTTTATGGATAGAAGAAACACAATTTTTACAACGCTGTAATCACGGTGGTTCCTTTTTGCCGAATGCGATCCAGTTCTTCCTTGACTTCGATCTTCTTTTGGTTTTTCTGCCCTATTAGCAGAATATTCCCTGTAAATTTTAAGCCATTCAGTTGGTTTGTTTCTCCTCGAAAAAATTAACTAGGAGCAGAAATTTTGGAACGCCGGCGCCGCAATTAGGATACGAGGTTTCGTACTTCGGCCGGCGAAATGAGACCTCCCTGATGAGGAGACCTGTTCAAGGACTGAATGCAAGTGTGGCCTTTATAGTTATGTGATAAAACACTGTTACGGCCCTTGCTTGGCTGGCCTAGGTCAGAAACCTTCATAATGGTTACGCCATTTGAGTTCACTGCGACGAAGCGACGACGTAATCGCAACGAAGGCTATCGGTCATCATGTTGCTTCTTCCAGTTGACAATGAATTGATAATCGTAAACTCAATCGAGGAAAGTTTTATTCTATCGGCTAGTTTTACGCCGCAGTATCATTAATTTACATCCGAATCATCGCATCACCCACTCGTCGAAAAAGGAGCAAATTTCGTGATGGACAACAGCTAAAGAGAATACTTACTTCAAATTAGAAGGGTACCGAATTGATCCGAAATTATGATGCTAGAATTACTTGTTTTGGGAATATTGTAAGTAAATAATTCTTGATTTTTCATTCCCTGATATTTGGCTGCTTTTCCCTGATTTCAATGGGAAAATTCCCTATTGACAACCCTGCAATCCTGCATCTTCACTCATGTTTCTCAATTCTCTAGGAAAACGAACAATTTTTCTCCAAAGTTGGAGGGGGGGGGGAGGAGGACCAACTTTTTCATCTTTGATCCCCTCAACAAAGTCAGTGCGGACCACCAAATTTAAAACTAATTGGAACTCGGAGTTAGAGAAAAAAAAAAATCCCGAGGTTTTTGACGCCGATTTCCCGGACAAATCCCTGCATGATTTTCCCAATTGTCCCAGATCTTATTGTCAGTCATCGTGCTCGAAGGATGTGATTTCATTCATTTGAGCACTGTAATCCAAATTTGTATGAAATTCATCCTAATATAGCAACTCTTTGATAATAGCCCTCTCTATTAAATGATAATCGGATCGCATTTAGCAAAGAGGAACCAGCGCGATTAGTGTTCTCAAAATCGTGCAACTTCTTCTCTTTCAAAAATACTTAATACATACACAGTATTAAAATTTGCACAGTTATTTTCCTTTAAATTAACAATTTTTCTGTGGGAAGCATAAACTATTTGCTATTCTAAGATATTTTGTGGATATTATAAAGGAGTAGCATTTTTACAACACTGTTGTCGCGCTGGTTCCTTTTTGCTATAATAGCGATTCAATTGTTATAATGTCACTATTCACTCCATCAGCATACACTAATCAAACACTCACCTGGGTTTCGTATTCAGTTTTGAACTTGATCCTATACTTGGAGCATCGAGGTGGGAAATTCAAACAAAACCCGTATTCTCGCACTTGATAAGGTTTGTGTTTCGATACTCGAACAGTCGTTGTATACCTGCAATCAATCAATAAACAAATCCAGGGTAAAAAGCAAACGTAGTAACAATGGTTGCTATAATTACTTCATCTCAAAATACCCCGACTTTTCGCTAACTATATTTGCTTTTTCCTGACTCCATAATTTCTAGCTCCCCAATTTCCTGACCTCCGATCAAATTTTCCGATTTTTTTTTTTTTTTTTTTTTTTTTTTTTTAAAAAAAAATACGCTGACTTTCGCTAAACTTTGGACAAAATTTCCTTGTTTAGAGATTAACTTATGGAAAAAGACATGCAGTAGCTGATCAAAAGTAGACGAGCCTTAAAAATTATCAGAAAGGGTAAGCAGTTGGTTGAACAGGGATACGAGGGCTGTCCCAAAAGATAGACTTTTGTCATAGAAGGCAAACCAAGCGTCGTAATGCAGTTTTCTTGGGCTTGTTTGAAAGCTGATAAGCTACTGAAGATGCTTGTTTTTACAGAATGCAAAAATTCGTATTGGTAAGGAAACTACACGCTTTGGAATGAAGGAAAGTCAAACTCAAGTTGCGATTTTTGTCTTTATTTCACGACAAATTTAGATACAACTTAAAAAAAACCCAGGTTTTAAGTTAAAAATTCGTTGCTCTCTTATTCAAATGCTTAAAAATAAGGAAATTAACATTTTAAGCAGCTCACCAAGTCATAACCTATTCCCTTCAAAATACTTGCCAGCTTTGTCGATGCATTTTTTCCACCGTTTCTTCAACTGGGAGAAGCACTGTTGGAAATCCTCAGGTTTGAATGATCGCAATTCCTTCAAGGTGACCAGACCTGGCTCCGTGTGATTTTTTCTTATTTCCACGACTTAAATTTACCTTGAAAGGTCGACGTTTTCAAACCATTCCGGAAATCCAAGAGAACACCCTGTAGGAATTGCGATCAATCAAATCTGAGGATTTCCAACAGTGTTTCTCCCAATTGAAGAAACGGTGGCAAAACTGCATCGACAAAGCTGGCAAGTATTTTGAAGGGGATAGGTGATGACTTGGTAAGCTGCTTAAAATGTTAATTTTCTTATTTTTAAGCATTTGAATAAGAGAGCAACGAAGTTTTTAACTTGAAACCTGGGTTTTTTTTTAAGTTGTATCTCTTGAGATAAAGACAAAAATCGCAACTCGAGTTTGACCTTCCTTTATTCCAAAGCGTGTAGTTTCCTTAACAATACGAATTTTTGCATTCTGTAAAAACAAGCATCTTCAGTAGCTTATCAGCTTTCAAACAAGCCCAAGAAAACTTCATTACGACGCTCGGTTCGCCCTCTATGACAAAAGTCCGGTTTCTTTTGGGACAGCCCTCGTATGTTTAAGTGATTAGTAGACGCGTCAGAAATTCCCTGACTTTTCCCACGAATTCCCCAGCTCACAACTTTACAACCAGTTTGGCAAGCTTCTCGGTCAGGCATTGTTCTTTCTCCGCACTGTGCTGTGCCAAGTGTACCTAAACAACGGGAAACAGCTGAGCCAAAGCGTCGAAAATATCTTTGTTTTGTTAAAAGATATTTTCAGTAATTTTTGTGGCACAAATCGTGTTCAACGTGAAATTTTGATGAGAAAACTTTATCATAATGCTTGAATTCGCCCTTTGTCTAAGTCTAATGGTCTATTCAAATCATAAGAGATAAAGGAAACTTTATGGAACTATACTGCCGTGCCGTGCTAAGGAAAAATCCGTAAGAGCATTTGAGCGTTGCCAAATTTCATCTTAGAAAATATTTATTCTTGAGTGAAGTTGCGCATAGTTTTCCTTGAAATTTTAAGATATTTTAGATTGAAATGCGAACCAAATTGTCTGGAAAAATGTAAGAAAAATCTTCCCAACTTTCTCGATAAATTCGTATTTTGTCAAAGGAAATTCGGCAACGGCTGAGGATTTAGACGACGTTTTTCCTTAGCACGGCAGTATGAGAAAAAGCGAAAACTCAAATCCGAAAAATTAAGATTAATAATAGTACACTGGAAAAAAAACACATTGGATCTAGAGTTCAGATTCTTAAAAACATTGACAAGAAAAAATACTCTTGATTCAATTACATTTAAGCTTAAATCAAGAACCAAGAATCAGAGTCGTCAGCGCTGCACTCGAGTCGAGCCGCGAGAAGAAAGTGTTCGCAAGGAAGTATGTCATGCGCCAAACGGCAACGGCCGAGTCGACGTTCGAATCTTAGCGTCTTCAAGAAATTAGTTCTTTAACACGGTGGATCGAGTCAATAGGAGAGGAAGGACAAATTCGCGAACTTTAAAAGTTTATAACTCCAATCATACAAATCTTTGAGATTCTGAAAGTAAAGTGGTTCCATTCACTGGGAAAAAAAAAAAAAAAACACATTGGATCTAGAGTCCAGACTCTTAAAAACATCGACAAGAAAAAATACTCTTGATTCAATCGGATTTAAGCTTAGTTCAAGAACCAAGCCTCTGAATTTGAGCGGATTTCCTTTTGATTTAAGCTTAAATCTGATTGAATCAAGAGTATTTTTTCTTGTCAATGTTTTCAAGATTCTGGACTCTAGATCCAATGTTTTTTTTTTTTTTTTCCAGTGAAGTAAAAAGACGAAAGAAAAGGAAAACTCACGATTCTTGTCGTGTGCAGACGTTGGGTCCTTCGAGGCTGCTGTTGCTGAAAAGGTTCGCCTCGGTGAAGACCCCGAGAGACAGCAACCCGAGGAAGCAATGGAGACTAGTTCTAAAAACACGGGACATTTTCTTAAAATAATCGACTAATATCACAGGACAAAACGATTAAACTTAAAAACGGAGCGGAAGCACTCGCATTTTCGATCAGCAGAAATCCGCAGAGATCGATCGAAACGAACGGTTGCCCATTTTCCCGCGGTTTCTTATTTATTTGGTGGGGGAGGGGGGTCGAAAGTCTTCTTAGGTTAGGTTAGGTTAGGTTAGCCCTGGTTTGCTCACTTTACTCGTGGTTATGTTGGTGTAGGCGAGGTTAGATAGGGTAATTTCATGATTCCCAGCATTCCGAGGAGGGAAATCGAGGGGAAAAGGGGTGATTCGACGAGGTTAATTATCGAGGGATCGGAGATTGGCTCTCGGAGTACCGGAAGATGCTCACCAGGGTCGGAGACGAGGGGGGGGTCCGGCCCGAAAGAGCGGTGCGTGGCGGGAACGGATCGGAAAAGGGTTACCCACCCACCTAAAAATTGGAGCGCTGGCACGTGGTCAGAGGCGCGACAAGGATACTCGTTAGTTCATAGGAACGCTTTTCCGGGGACTTACGTAGAATGGGCATAATTCGCCCCCCCCC